ACAGGGGTCACTTGAGACCATCAGAAAACACATATTTCCAATGGTCTTAGGAACCGAGACACTGGTCCTCTGTCTCCAGGCAGGTCTTCCCACATGCAGATACGCCCACATACGGGGTCACCACAACATGAGGAACTATATTAAAGGGTCGCGGCATTAGGAAGGTTGAGAACCACTGGTCTAGGAGGTTCTCAGTGCAGGACCCTGGATCCAAACCACACACTCCTTTCTTGGTGTGGTCAGGTTCCTCTGCTCTGCCTGCTTCTCTCTCCTTTTATCTCTTGTAAGAAAAAGTGATTCCAACCACAGTCCAGGAAAACTTCCTTTACATCAGGTCAGGGCTGTAAACTGAGTAAAGGTATTGCATTTTACTTGAATCCCCTTACAAATAATGGCTGATCACATTACGAAGGATTACCATATTATTATATAACTGCACTGAGAATCATGGTCCATCAGACAAATGGACACATAATTGGGGGGACACACTCTGTAACACTAGGTGAGAAGGTGGGGGAAGACACTGATAGGATTCACCAGTAACTGAACAGGATTCATCGGAATGCCATTCAGCTGGGTATAAAATGAGCCCTCTGAGAAGGGGTTATGGGGGTGGGTGTTTCACTACTAGCAAGAACCAGGGGTAGAGCATGTCTTCAGGACCATGAGTTCCCTGTGCAGTCAAACTTGTGGATTCAGAAGACAGCTGAGACAACAGAGGAGCAGTTGAAGAACCGGGAAATAGAGCATGAGCCAGCGTGGTGGACTTCCCAGCCTACAAAGTAAGTAAAGCTGAGTGTTTAGGGGCAGAAAGCTGTCTTATGGAGTAGAGTGCCCCTGGGTAATTGGGGGAACTGGGTTCACTGAACCATGGATCTGGAGTGGAGTGCCCTCCAAAAGAACAACTGACTGAACACTTCATTGCGCTCATGTGGACCTTGTACATAGATCATGAGGCAGTTGTGCAAACAGAACAAGGGAATACGTCAAGTTGTGTCCTCAACCATACTTATTCAATCTGTGTGCTGCGCAAATCATCAGAAAAACTGGCTTCTGTGATGAAGAACGCAACCCCTAGATTGGAGGCATATTTATTAACAACTGTGACATCGATGATACAACCTTGTGTGCTGAAAAGTGAGGACTTGAAGCATTTGCTGATGAAGACTGATGCCTGCTGCCTTCAGTATGCACTACAACTTAATGTGAAGAAGCTCAAAATCTTCACAACTGGACCAATAGGAAACTTCATGAGAAACGATGGAAGTTGGCAAGGATTTCATCCTGCATTTCTCACCTGCACTGTAACCTGTTACTTTCTTCATGAATCTTTTAATCATGACTGTTGTGAGTTTTCAGTCACCATTGCAGTGCATTATATAGTCTAGAGCAGTGGTTCTCAACCTTCCTAGTGCCGCGACCCTTTAATATAGTTCCTCATGTGGTGGTGACCCCCCCAACCATAAAATTATTTTCATTGCTATTTCATAACTGTCATTTTGCTACTGTTATGAATTGTCATGTAAATATCTGATAGGCAGAATGTATTTTCATTGTGACAAATTGAACATAATTAAAACATTGTGATGAATCACAAAAACACCATGTAACTATATATTGTGAAATATCTTTTTCTAATGAAAACTCAATGAAATTTGGTCTCGATGTATGGTGTGGCATGGGTACAGAACAGTCTTCATGCCGTATCTGCATGTGGGTGGACGCATGTGGAGATGTACAGCGGTGTCTTGGTTCCTAAGTCCATCAAAAAGGGGTAGTGGCCCACAGGTTGAGAACAGCTGGACTAGAGGAAAAGTAGACAGTATGAGAACACACTCAGCACGGCCAAATGGACAAAATGTGAAGGCGTGAAATGCTTATGAAAATAAACTTTTCCTCTACCCAGAAATTTCTTTGGCTATCATTTCATAAACCTGAACTTTGATCATGTCAGGAGTTGGACCTGATTGTACCTTTAGTGCTATGTGCTGGCTAATTATTGACTTAAAACTTGTAAATATCAGAAGGGAAACAAAGCATCAGCACTCAAGGAAAAAAAGCAGAAACTCCAGTTGTTTCTTTCAACTCATGAACTGCCGTATATACTCAAGTATAAGCCGAGTTTTTCAGCACATTTTTGGGGCAGTTTTTGTGGTAAAAGTAGGTGCCTCGGTGGATATTCAGGTCGGCTTATACTCGAGTATATAAGGTAAATCATGATGTGAAATGTTTACCTTTGGATTGAGCCTTGAGTGAGAGTTTAATCTCATCAAAATACTGCTGGTCCCATGGACAGTGATTTTAGAAATACGACTGGGTACACTCAATCAAGAAGGGACAACACTTACACTAATGGTAAACCACTTGGCTCATACAATAGGCACAAATACAGCTAGAAAAGTACTCTCTAAATAAGAGTGCAGAATGTATTCATTCAGACAGGACAATAGGGAGGATAAAATCTTTCTCTTTCTTGGTTGGCTTCAAGGAATCTGAATCACATCTTCACCCAAATAAAAAATTGGTAACTTACTAAAAAGAAAATCAAGCCCACTGCTGTCCATTGAGTCTCCTAGCCAACCCTATGTGACAGAGAATGGTCACCATGGAGTTTCCAAGGCTATAAATCTGGAACCCTGGTCATGTGGGAGGTTATGTAATGAACTGCAGTTTGAAGGCACCAGTCCCTTAGCAAGAGAAAAATGAGGCTTTCTACTCCTGTAAGAGTTAGTCTTGGAAACGCACGGGGCAGTTCTACCCTGTCCTACAGGGTTGCTATGAGTTGGAATCAACTCGATGGCAGTGAGTTTTTTTAACGACAATGGCCAGGAATAAGCCAGTGGATGAAAGATATAAAAATGACATTTTGAGAAGACCTATAGAAATCCAAGATAGTCTATAATATGCATGCTTTGTATTCCTTAAAGTTCAGAGCTCATGGAAGGTATATCAAAAGTATGAAAAACAAAAAGGCAGCAGCACTGAATACAAATAGCTATGAAAGGAAAAGATCTTAGAGCCACCATCCACAAGCCAAAAATAGTTTGAAGGGCACAAAGATATCCTGGTTGGGAGGTAATCTCCCTGCTATACTAAACACAGGTCATACTCTATCAGGATAGAAAGTCGTGAAGTTGTCGTTTTCCTTGGATCAACAATCAACACCCATGGAAGTAGCAGTCAAGAAATCAAAGAATGTTTATATGCCAATAAAACGTTTTTTTTAAAAAACCAAAACAACAGATTGCATTAGGCAAAAGTGCTGCAAAAGACCTCACGAACGTGTTCAAAAGCAAAGACCTGGCCTTGAGGACTATGGTGTGCCTGCCCTAAGCCACAGCACTTCCATGTTTCCTATGCATGCAGAAGCTGCACAGTGAGTAAGGAAGACCAGGGAAAAACGGATGCATTTGAATTAAGGTGCTAGTGGAGACTACTGCATAGACCATAGCCTGGCAGAAAAATGAACAAAACGGTCTCTGAAGTACAGCCAGAAATGTCTGGAAGCAAGGGCAGCGAGACTTTCTCTCATGTCCTTTGGACATGCTATCAGGAGAGGACGACATCATGCTTGGTAAAGAGTAAGGCCCTTGATGACGTGGATTGACAGTGACGGCAACAATAGGTTCACACACAGCAATGAGGATGTGAGGCTAGCATAGGACCAGGCAGTGGTTCATGAGTTGATGGCACATAACAACTCTACCAGGGCAGGACTTGGTGACGCCTACCTTCATCACCTCCGCTGAGGAGTTAAAGGCTTTGATGGCAACCGTTCAGTACTGACTCCAGGGTTAAGAACTGGAAATGATGCCTGATAGGAGGCATTCAAATACCTATTCATAATCTCCAGGACATGCTGAAGGGATAGGCTTTCTCTTTTTAATCTTCTTCAAGATCAAGCAACGGCAAGAACAAGGAGACTCGGGATCTCTCTACTTTCAGTTGATGCTGGAAGCCAAGCCTAATGGGGGTGGGGGTGGGGAAATCAACCACCCGGAATTAATTGAATATTTACAATGAATCATACCTATTTAGGATTGGTACAATAACATGAAAGTATTTCAGCATGAAAGGAAATAAAAGACTCTTGGGTGACTATGGGGGATTGTTCTAGGGACAAATTAATTTCCATTCAATTCAGTAACAATGCTGGCACTTGTTCTCACCACTTTGATTGTGTTAAATGGAGTAACATTAACGTTTCCACATTCCGTTTGAGTATTGCATTTTTTCCTGACTGCTATCAGTTCTCTGCAGTCAACAATTAGGAATTAAATCAGAGGTGCAAATCTACAAAGACGACTTCTAATTTCCAAATCGGCTTAGAATTTCGAAGTTCTGAATGCTCTTTCACATTTGGTTTCTCTGCCATCCTTGCTGGCTGGATGACAAGTTAAGAGGCGCCTGCTGTTCCGCTAGCACTGGGACCGCAGAGTTCAATGAGCTGTGCATTCAGGGCCCAAGAATGGAGGAGAACACAAGGCACACACACAGAGAGCAAACACCCACCCAGCCACAGACCCACTCTTCCACTGGCAGAAGGCATCGCCTACTTCATTCTGAACCTCCCACTGGCCTTCAAGAACCACTAGGTGGGGAGGGCACACTATAGGGGATGACTGTTATTGTTTTTTTTGTGTGTGTCTTCTCAGCAAAGTCAGGCAAACTATATTACTTAGAAGTTTTGTTCTTTCTACTGCTTATTGAAGCATCGCTTCTCAGCCCCAAAGCCACCCCCTCCTTTTTTTCCCCCCACACTCTACTCTTTTCTGTGGGGTTTGGACTCTGTAGACAGCCTTTTACTCTTATAGCTAGCCAACTGACACGGTCCTGAAAAGTGTTACGGCTGTTTTCTTACACATGTGCACACACAGCACATAAATCCAGCAGACACACACATATACACAGAAACCTGAACCACGAACATGGGCCACGTCTACACACAGAGGGGGCACAGGATATGCTTAAAACGTTAATATCAGAAAAAAAGGCAGATCAAGTTTTAACTTGGAATTTTATTATGTGTGTAACTAGCAACATGAGAACAAGGAGTTCTAAGGCTTGGACATTATCTCTAGGTGGAAGAATTCCAGATTAGTCCGCATAATATGGCACCACCCAAGATAAAGCAAGGTGCGGTGGAGATTTTCCTGAAGACTGCCAATTTGCTACGTTCAATACTGACTTGATCACTTGTTTCTGTAGAAATACTGATTTACCAGATGGAGTTTCCAAAGCTTACCTATAACTAAAGAAAAGAAAAGAAAATGTTAATTCAACTCTTGCCAGGGGCACACATCCACCTACACACAACCAAAACCTTACAAACGTGCGTCTTGAAAATTACAGCTATAAAACAGAGAAACTGTGTAGAACAATGCCATTACCCTAAGGATGACAAGAAGCCAGAGAAAGCTGGGATTATTTCCATTTTATGGCGGAGGAAACAAAGAAAATCAGAATGGTTTTGTGTGCCATCAGTTTCACATTCAGATCTCTGAATGTGTATTAGACAAATGGACGAACAAATGAAAACCGAATGCCTATGTGGCCTGACACAGCCCAGACCTCCCCCGCCCCCCTCGATCCCAGTAACTGCATCCCAGTAACTGCAAGAGAAGAGAATTACATCGAAGTCAGGCTGCTATATACCTTTCCTCACATTATCCTCCCCCTTCTTTTCTAGAACGAAACACCCATCAGTCCTAAGACAAACCGAATCTTCTCCAGGTGGCTTTTCTCCAACAATGTGAAAAAGCAGACTTAGCATTTAGAGGTTTATAAATCTTTCCGCGACTAGCGGCTAACTCATTTGATCTTCTCATATAAAACCCTAAACTCTTAAAGATGCAAACCGTAAGCTCATTACATGTTCTATCTCAGCTATTCATCTTCTCTGGACAACTCTAGGAATTCAATTAGGAAACCTGCATTGTTAAGACCTCAAAACTAGAAATCAGCCAGATCAATAAGAATTAGCTAGATATGGTCATCTGCACTAGGAAATGATTAAGCAGCTACAAGAAAACAAAGAACTACCACCCATCAAGTGGACTCTGACTAATAGCGACCCTATAGGACAGAGTAGAGTTGCCCCTGTGGGTTTCCCAGATTAGAAATCTTTATGAGAATAGAAAGCCTTCTCTTTCTCCCGCAGAGGAGACAGTGGGTTCAAACAGCTGACCTTGTGGTGAGCAACCCAACTCATTACCCTCTCTGCCACTAGGGCTCCTGAGCAGCTTCAAGAAAGAAAAGGTTAAAAACAAACAAACAAGCCCAAAATAAGGGAGAGAGGAATCCAGAGAGAAATAGAAGTACACTCAATGGACGCCATTGGCTGTGTGCCGAACATGGGAAATTCTACACGACAAACCAGTCAGGTTTTTTCACAAAGATTTGGAAGAGGAAAGAAAGGGGCAAGGGAATTATTACAGTTTAAAATGAGATATACAGGACCCGATTCAAACAAACCTAACTGTAAAATGTTATTATAATTAAATCATATCGAGAAGCGCTGTACAATGATCACCACAATCAATTCTAGAACATTTTCTTCTTCCTTGTACTCATTGTGATTCATGTCATTATCTTTTTCTAATTGTGACAAAACTAGACACAACAAAACATTCTCCAATTCTACAACCTCTACATGTATAATTCAGTACTGGATTTAATTCTGTTAGGTGTGATGATAAAATCGCGACTGTGTGCCCGCATAGGGTTTTCCCTGTACTCGCAGAACAATTCCTGAGGCCTGTGATCTCAGTTTGCCTTAAAACAGTGTTTCTCAACCTTGCTAATGCCAGGACCCTTTAATACAGTTCCTCATGTGGTGGTGACCCCCCCATCATAACATTCTTTTCGTTGCTACTTTATCACTGTCATTTTCCTACTGTTACAAATCAGGTGACCTCTGTGAAAGGGTCATTCGAACCCCAAGGGGGTCGCCACCCACAGGTTGAGAACCGCTGCCTTAAAACCAAACGCATATATGAATGCCGAGAGGGAGAAAGGCAGGGAGGTAGATAAATATACCAAATTATTAACCCAAATGACATCTTGGACAGTAATAAAGGCTAATACACACACAAAAATTTTTAAACTTTGTAATAAATTCATTTCTGCGTATAGAGGAAGCTGAACTCTGACCCAGACTTTTTTTAAAAAATAAATTGGGTATTTATGTAGTTTCACTTTCTTCTCCTTGTTCAATGGAAAGAAATCGATCCATGTTCAACACAAAGTCTCCAGAGGGCAGGGCGGCTGGCTGCTGCTCGCCTTTGAGTGTCCTGCCTCTGGCCCCCCTCTCCAGAGATGTAGATTCGGAGGAGATGCCTACTGTTGTTGTGAGGTAGCACTGAGTTCGTTCTGACCCATAGCTCATCTACCCTCTGCACAGCAGGAGGAAACACAGCCTGGTCCTGAACCATCCTCACAATTGTTCCCTTGCCTGAGTTCCTCGATGTAACCAGTGTCAAGCCATCTGGTTGAGGGCCTAGGTCTCTACATTTTAACAAGCTCCCCAGGTGATTCACTTGTGTAACAAAATCTGCAAACAACTGATTTGGGTTACTATATGAAGTGCTGTGCTGTGATGTGAAAGAGGTAAGTGGGTTTGTCCTCCCTAGCCCCCCTAAAATAGGATCAGGACCACTGCAGGGGCATCACATGGAGAAACCATTTGTTTGGCACAAAAATGGCTGCCTTAAAAATCTGAACTGTGCAGACACCTGCCCTGTCGGGTAAGTTTCCGGATCAGCGGAGCTGGCAAAGTAGGAACCTACAGGGACAGAGGGTCTTACAGGGTGAAGACTGGACCAGATGACCTCTCTCAAATCTTCTGATCCGGTTGTTCTCTAGTCTCTTAAAAATATGGAATCAGCTGGAAAAAGAAAAACTTCAAACCCAGGGCTTTAGTGAATTTTAAAGAGCAGCCATGATTTGTAATGAATGGAACTCCAATTTTAAAAGGCATCTACAATCCTACTATCCAAAGATGTGCAATTCAGTATTTCTCAATCTCCTAACCTTCTTGACAAAAATCAGTGTTACACATTTTTTAGCAGTAATGGTGCACATGTTCCCATGAAGTGAATATTACTGGAACATAATAATATTGCTCTATATGGATATGCCATAATTCAACCATTTCCCTGCAGTTGACTAACTGGGTTGTTTCCAAACTCAACCGTTTTCTAATTTCCATGAAATCAAAAGTGCTATTATCTACCTTTTAATATATATGGGTACTTAATAAGTCTACACAGAACAAATGAATGAAAATAAATAGTATATGATCAGACAGAAGAAATCACTCATTTTCTGACTCTAGTTGATATTCCTCAGCTTCCCTCACCTCAATTGACTCGATTGGTAAAGAAGGAATAATTACACAATCCATTCCCTGTGTCACTTCAGAGAATGTCTCTATACCATCTTGAGCTCCTTGACGATAGTCATACATTCAATAAATGTTTACTAAAAGTGCCGACTAAATAAAGTGCTGTTTGATAAACAAAATAAACCTAAGAAAGATTGGCAGTTTTCAACTGTTTGAAAACGACTAGGTGGATCTCAAATGTCCAGCTCTAGCTTGTCATAAAGAAGCAAAACAAAACAAACCCAGGTCATTTTCTGGGTTATAGTTCCCTAAGTCATGGCACGTCAGTCCAGAAATTAAAGATGAAATAAACCCTTGTGTTTCCACAGTAACTGGGAAGTGTTATAATTTAGTTACAGTAAAACCCTTGTGTTTACACAGTAACTGGAAAGTGCTATAATTTAGTTACAGTAAAGACAAGTCATTTCAAGCTGGGGGGAACCGCGTTGACAGTAAGCAGAGTTGTCATGTTCTTTACCTGTTTAAATGGTCAGATCAAGGGGCAGTCTACTTATTTCCGGGTGGAGTCTTCACATTTCCTGGCTTGTAAAACAAAAGTAGAAGTATTAACCAAATTTGAAAAGAAATAGTGAAACTTCTCAAGTGCCCACCCTTAGTATACAAATAGAAACATTCAATGATGGGGGGAGTACGGAGTGGAGACCCAAAGCCCATGAGTAGGCCACTGGAGATCCCCTTGCAGAGGGGTCT